ATTCCCTTTCCAACCCTAGTTTGTTGCGTGCTTTTGTCCGGAATAGGTGCCGAATTTTGTCAAATGCCTTTTCTGCATCAAATGATACGATCATGTAATTTGTGTCCTTTGTTTAATTTATATGGTGGATTACATTGTTACTGATGTTGAACCATTCTTACATACCACTTGATCACGATGCCATTGGGTTTTATTTGTTTGTTTGTTTTTTACTATTTTTGTTGGATACCATTGGCTAGGATTTTGTTGAGAATTTTGCATCTGTGAAGAACCACCCTTTTTCTTTCCTTGAAATTGAAATGAACTTGTATGTCACCAAAGACCCCATGTCCACTTCAGTTTCACTTTTCCTGCTTAAAAAAAAAAAAAGTCTATATAGTTGCACACCCCATCTTAAAAATGAAGTCGGTAGTATCTCGCTACACCCAAGGACCATGCTTTTCGAAGCCCTCTTTTCCTCCTGCACAATTAAAATGGAGATTCTGAAATATAGAGCCCCCTCCCTGGCCATCTTAAGAAGGAATGTGGCAGAGCATGGAGCAGACAGACTACTGTGTCCCGAGGGACCCTCTCTGAGTGGCACCTACTGGCCTTTTTGAGTGTGTGATGAGTCAAGACAGAGCAAAGCTTAGGCCCCAGCAGGGCCCTCCCTCCCTCTGCCACTTACTGCTTTCAGCACCCTTGGCCTCAGTTTTCCTGTGGACAAGATGGGACGGTGACCCGACACGCCTGTCCCCAAGTCCCCTGCTGCCATCACACTCAGTGACGGACAGAAATGACAGCACAGGCCAACCAACTTCCAACTGGGACATGCCTCCACCTTCCACTTCCCCCAGGGCAGATGTGGGACTCACATATTGTGTGGCTCCGTCGCCAGTCCCCAGCCAGCCAGCGTCTTCCCTGCTGACCCCGCAACAGGCATGTGAAGACCATGTGCAGAGGGACAGGGCCTACAGTCCCCACTGGTCTCCAGGAGACAGCAGGAAGAGGGCAATGCAGGCTTGAGGCAGGCGCAGGACAGCCTCATCTGGGCAGGCACCTCTGGAGGTCAGGCCCCTCTGGAGGTCAGGCA